AAGGGGGTGCCCGAAGCTCTGGGGGGCTTTGGGGGGGTCGAGGGGACCCCCAAACCACGGGGGGAACCCTCAAAATACAGGGGGGACCCCCAAAATCGTGGAAAGGGACCCCAAAACCACGAGGGGGGACCCAAAACCACAGAGGGACCCTCAAAATACGGGGGAAACCCCAAAAACCACGGGGAGGGGACCCAAAACCATTGGGGGGGACCCTCAAAATCATGGGAAGTGACCCCTAAAAGCACAGGGGGTCCTCCAAAACCACAGAGAGGGACCCCCAAAATATTGGGGGGGTCTCAGTACCATGGAAGGACCCCCAAAACAGGGGGGGGGGTTTCCCAAAACCATGGAGGGACCCCCCAAACCACGGGGGGGGGTACCTCAAAAGCGTGGGGGGAACCCAAAAACCACGGGGGGGACCCTCAAAATATAGGGGGGGACCCCCAAAATCGTGGCAAGGAACCCCCAAAACCACGGGGAGGGATTTCCAAAACATTGGGGGGGGGCCTCAGTACCATGGAAGGACCCCCAAAATCACGGGGGGGACCCCAAAAACCAGGGAGGGGACCCCAAATCACGGGTGGGGGACTCAAAACCATTGGGGGGGACCCCAAAATCGTGGAAAGGGACCCCAAAACCGGGGGGGGGACCCCCAAAAGCACGGGGGGCCCCAAAGGGCTGCCAGCACCGAGCGGGCTGGGGTCGGGGCTGGCTCCCGGGGGGGTCCCGGAGCCGCTGGCTCCCGGGGGGGTCGCGGCGCCCCCAGACCCACCTGGCAGCACGGGCAGCGGGCGGCGGGCGCGGCGCTGCAGCCGCAGCCTCCAGAGCACGGCGTCGCGGGCCAGGTCGCGCAGGGCGCGGCAGACGCGCGGCAGCACCCGGCGCACGTCGCGGGCCCGCAGGAAGCCGCAGATCCGCAGCAGCAGCTCCGGGGGCAGCGCCAATCCCCAAAAATCCCCAAAATCCCCCCAAAATTCCTTCCCCGCGGGTGGGGGAGGGGTCGCGCTCCTCACCGGAGCCCCGCCCCTCCCCCCATCCCCGGGGGTCCCTCCCGGTTCCGGGGGGGGGGAGGGGAGAGAACGGCGCTGCCCGCGGGGGGGGCGGGGCTTACACCAGCCCCTCCCATGGGCGGGGCTCGGCGCGGCCACGCCCCGCGGGCGGCGGCGCGCAGGCGCAGAGGGCGCGGCCTAGACGCCGTAGAAGGCGGCCAGGCGCTCCTTGAGCAGCGGCGGGAGCTGCTCGGCGAAGCGCTGCCAGTTCTCCTCCCCCACCTGCGCCTTGAAGCCCTGCAGGATCTGCGTGAGGGGGCCGGGTCAGGGGGCACAGGGACCCCGACCCGGGAGGGGATTCGGGTCAGGGGGCGCGGGGACCCCAACCCGGGAGGGGACCCGGGACCCCGACCCGGGAGGGGATTCAGGACCCCAACCCGTGAGGAGATTTGGGTCAGGGGGCACAGGGACCCCAACCCGTGAGGGGATTTGGGGTCAGGGGGGGCTGGACCCCAACCCGTGAGGGGATTCGGGTCAGGGGATGTGGGACCCGGGGGGGGCGGGGCTTACACCAGCCCCTCCCATGGGCGGGGCTCGGCGCGGCCACGCCCCGCGGGCGGCGGCGCGCAGGCGCAGAGGGCGCGGCCTAGACGCCGTAGAAGGCGGCCAGGCGCTCCTTGAGCAGCGGCGGGAGCTGCTCGGCGAAGCGCTGCCAGTTCTCCTCCCCCACCTGCGCCTTGAAGCCCTGCGGGATCTGCGTGAGGGGGCCGGGTCAGGGGGCACAGGGACCCCGACCCGGGAGGGGATTGGGGTCAGGGGGCACAGGGACCCCGACCCGGGAGGGGATTCAGGACCCCGACCTGTGAGGGGATTCGGGTCAGGGGCCCAGGACCCCAACCCATGAGGGGATTTGGGGTCAGGGGGGGCTGGACCCCAACCCGTGAGGGGATTCGGGTCAGGGGATGTGGGACCCCAACCCATGAGGGGATTTGGGGTCAAGGGGTGCGGGGACCCCAACCCGTGAGGGGACCCGGGACCCCTCCCCGTGAGGGGATTCGGGTCAGGGGATGTGGGACCCCAACCCATGAGGGGATTTGGGACCCCAACCCGTGAGGGGATTGGGGTCAGGGGACCCAGGACCCCAACCCATGAGGGGATTTGGGGTCAGGGCTGTAGGACCCCAACCTGTGAGGGGACCCGGGACCCCTCCCCATGAGGGGATTTGGGGTCGGGGGAGGCCGGACCCCTCCCCATGAGGGGATTCGGGACCCCAACCCGTGAGGAGATTTGGGTCAGGGGGGGCCGTGGGACCCCAACCCGTGAGGGGATTTGGGGTCAGGGGGGGCTGGACCCCAACCCGTGAGGGGATTCGGGTCAGGGGATGTGGGACCCCAACCCATGAGGGGATTTGGGACCCCAACCCGTGAGGGGATTGGGGTCAGGGGACCCAGGACCCCAACCCATGAGGGGATTTGGGGTCAGGGCTGTAGGACCCCAACCTGTGAGGGGATGTGGGACCCCTCCCCGTGAGGGGATTTGGGGTCGGGGGAGGCCGGACCCCTCCCCATGAGGGGATTCGGGACCCCAACCCGTGAGGAGATTTGGGTCAGGGGGCACAGGGACCCCGACCCGTGAGGGGATTTGGGGTCAGGGGATGTGGAACTCCTCCCCATGAGGGGATTTGGGTCAGGGGCCCAGGACCCCAACCCGTGAGGGGATTTGGGTCAGGGGGGGCCGGACCCCTCCCCGTGAGGGGATGTGGGACCCCTCCCCATGAGGGGATTTGGGGTCGGGGGAGGCCGGACCCCTCCCCATGAGGGGATTCGGGACCCCAACCCGTGAGGAGATTTGGGTCAGGGGGGGCCGTGGGACCCCAACCCGTGAGGGGATTTGGGGTCAGGGGGGCTGGGACCCCTCCCCATGAGGGGATTTGGGTCAGGGGCTGCAGGACCCCTCCCCGTGAGGGGATTTGGGTCAGGGGGCACAGGGACCCCTCCCCGTGAGGGGATTTGGGGTTGGGGGAGGCCGGACCCCTCCCCATGAGGGGACCTGGGACCCCTCCCCGTGAGGGGATCGGGGTCAGGGGCTGCAGGACCCCTCCCCGTGAGGGGATTTGGGTCAGGGGGCACAGGGACCCCTCCCCGTGAGGGGATCGGGGTCAGGGGCTGCAGGACCCCTCCCCACCTTGTAGAACATGTCCCGCAGGTCGTCCTTGGGGCTCACCCAGGAGGCCACGGCGTCGCAGAAGAAGATGAAGTCCTGAGGGGAGAGTGGGGAAATGGGGAAAAACGGGTCAGAAATGGGAAGAAACGGGTCAGAAATGGGGGAAATGGGGGAGAAATGGAGTAAAAATGGGGAAAACCAGGTCAAAAATGGGGGAGAAGTGGAGTAAAAATGGGGAAAAACAGGTCAAAAATGGGAAGAAACGGGTCAAAAATGGGGATAAGATGGGAGAAATGGGGAAAAACGGGTCAGAAATGGGGAGAAATAGAACAAAAATGGGGGAAAACAGGTCAGAAATGGGGGAGAAATGGAGCAAAAATGGGGGAAATGAGTCAGAAATGGGGAAAAACGGGTCAAAAATGGGGAAAATAGGGGGGAAAATGGGGAAAAAATGGGGATAAAATGGAGCAAAAATGGCACAAAAATGGGGAACATAAGGGGAAAAATGGGGGAGAATGGAACAAAGATGGGGAACAAGAAGTCAAAAGCAGGAAAAATGGGGAAAATGGGGGAGAAATTGAACAAAAATGGGGAAAAATGGCTCAAATATGGGGAAAAATGGGTCAAAAATGGGAAAAAATGGCACAAAATGGGGTAAAACGGGTCAAAAATGGGGGGAAAATGAGGAAAATGGCACGAAAATGGGGAAAATGGAACAAGAATGGGGAAAATGGGGAAAAACAGATAAAAAATGGGGAAAATGAGGCAAAAATGGGGGGAAATGAGAGGAAAATAGAAGGAAATGCCCCAAAAATGGGGGGAAATGAGAGGAAAATAGAAGGAAATGCCCCAAAAATGGGGGAAATGGGGGGAAAATGCTCCGGATTTTGGGGACCCCCAGGTTTTGGGACCCCCCCCCCAATTTCGGGGCACCCCCTGGTTTCAAGGCCCCCTCTCTGATTTTGGGCTCTTCCTCCCAAATTTCGGGACCCCCCCCATAATTTTGAGACTCCCCCACCCCTCAATTTCAGCCCCCTCCAGATTTTGGGGACCCTCCCCAATTTCGGGACTTCCCCCCCAATTTTTGCCCCCCCGTCGGAATTTTGGGGGGGAAAAGGGGGTTTTTGGGGTGGAAAAGGGGGATTTGGGGTGGAAAAGGGGGATTTTGGGGTGGAAAAGGGGGATTTTGGGGTGGAAAAGGGGGATTTGGGGTGGAAAAGGGGGGTTTTGGGGTGGAAAAGGGGGATTTGGGGCGGAAAAGGGGATTTGGGCTCACCAGGGCCGGATGAACTGCTGCAGCATCGGCGCCACCTCCTGCGGGCACACGAAGCCCAGGCGGCCGATGGTGATGGCTGGGGGAAAAGGGAATTTTTGGGAATTTATATTCAATTATTTCAGGTGTTTGTTTACATATTTGTGATATTTATACATTGATATATTTGTAATGTTCATCTGTTTATTCTTGTACATTTGTATATTAATAGTATCTACTTATATATTTATTTTCTATATTTTACATATTTATATTTATAGTAGCCATTTATAGATTTACAGACTTATTTTATATATTTTACATATTTATATTTATAGTGTCTATATATATTTATAGCCCAGGCGGCCGATGGTGATGGCTGGGAAAAGGGAATTTTTGGGGTTTTATATTCAATTATTTTATGTCTTTGTTTACATATTTGGGATATTTATGTGTTGATATATTTGTAATATTCACATATTTATTTAATTAATTTTATGTATTTATATATTTACAGTATCTAGTTATATGTTTATTTTATGTATTTTACAGAATTTATATATTTATTTATATTTTACATCGTTATATTACACATTTTATAATTTCATAATTTTATGTTTTATAATTTATTTTAATATAGTGTTATATTGTATATTTTATATATTTATGTTATTTTATATATATTTTATATATTTTACAGAATTTATAAATTTATTTATATTTTACATCATTATATTATACATTTTATAATTTTATATTTTGTAATTTATTTTGTATTTCACGTTATTTTATATATTTTACAGTATTTATATATTTATTTATATGCTATTTAATGTAGTACACATTTAATATTTTGTGTTTATATAGTTATAATATTATTTACATATAAATATTAATATTATAACTATAAAAATATACAACTTTTTATGTATAAATATATAAAATATATGTATTTTTAATATCTATATTTATATACTGGCAATTTTATATCACGCAGTAAAAGTTACAATTTAAAACTGTGCAATAGAATTTTGAACTGTAATAATAATTAAATATAATTAATAATCTTTTAAAAGAAAACCTGATCCTTTTTCTTCACCTTCTCCATAAATTCAATCAATGTTACACAATTAAATAAAAACAAATCCACATTCCAAAAGCTCCCAGCCCTGTCCCCAGCAGTTCTGGGGTCCCAGCAGTTTTGGGGTCCCTCAGCAGTTTTGGGGTCCCAGTTTTGGGGTCCCTGTCAGTCAGTTTTGGGGTCCCTCAGCAGTTTTGGGGTCCCTATCAGTCAGTTTTGGGGTCCCTGTCAGTCAGTTTTGGGGTCCCTGTCAGTTTTGGGGTCCCTCAGCAGTTTTGGGGTCCCAGTTTTGGGGTCCCTGTCAGTCAGTTTTGGGGTCCCTCAGCAGTTTTGGGGTCCCAGCAGTTTTGGGGTCCCTGTCTGTCAGCTTTGGGGTCCCTCAGCAGTTTTGGGGTCCCAGCAGTTTTGGGGTCCCTGTCTGTCAGTTTTGGGGTCCCTCAGCAGTTTTGGGGTCCCTGTCAGTCAGTTTTGGGGTCCCTCAGCAGTTTTGGGGTCCCAGCAGTTTTGGGGTCCCTGTCTGTCAGTTTTGGGGTCCCAGTTTTGGGGTCCCTCAGCAGTTTTGGGGTCCCAGCAGTTTTGGGGTCCCTCAGCAGTTTTGGGGTCCCAGTTTTGGGGTCCCTGTCAGTCAGTTTTGGGGTCCCTCAGCAGTTTTGGGGTCCCTATCAGTCAGTTTTGGGGTCCCTGTCAGTCAGTTTTGGGGTCCCTGTCAGTTTTGGGGTCCCTCAGCAGTTTTGGGGTCCCAGTTTTTTGGTTTCTGTCTGTCAGT